CCGTCACTTTATATATATATAATAAAAATTCATTATAAAAGCAACAGTAATCAGTGCTATATATGTAAGCACGCAGTTCAAATTTTTCGGGGAGAATTCAAAATTGTTTGAGACCACATCTTGCTTAACATCCAATTCCATGCCGAGCCAAGCCAAGCTGAGCCAATATGCATAGATTTAAAAGCGCTTTTATGTTAATATTTTGCTCGCTATATTTATATATTTTATAAATTCATTATAAAAAACAACAGTAGCCATTACTATATATGTACGGACGTAGTTCAAATTTTTCGGGGAGAATTCAAAATAGTTTGCGAGACCACACCTTGCTTAACATCCGATTCCAAGCCGAGCCAAGCCAAGCTGAGCCAATATACATAGATTTATAAGCGCTTTTATATTAAAATTTTGCTTGCTTTTTAAACGAATATCCCAATATAACAAATTCTCCATCCTTTTTTAACTTTCTTTGATGCTTTTTAATCAGTCAGGTCACAAAAATCATTATCGATATCGCAATGAAATCAATTTGAAATTTTTTTTAATTATTGATAAAATTTTTAAATTGTTGATAAAAATAACTAGTATATATAGTGTAGTAAAACGTTTAAAATTTTCTGAGCGAATTCAAAATAATTTGAGACTACACCATAACACAATTGTACAATTTGAATGTGAAAATACAACATCATAAATGTATTATAACTACGTGTATATATCTATCTATTTATTTATTTAGTTCTGCCTGTGTATGTTTTGTCAAATTTATTTGATAGGAATTGAATATAACCTTTATACCGGCTGATTAACTACCATGCAGTAAAATAACTACTGTTGACACCATTTCCTCCAACGATTTCGCAACGAATTGCCCATACCTATTATTGCCCATACCTATTCTAATTATATGAATTTATCTGCTCTATGCAAAAGTTAAAAGTTAATTTAGACGTTAATAATCATGTTGTTGGTGATTTCTCGAAAACTTTTCTCGGTTAATAAAGTGCATTCGCTATTTTTTCAAGGTCAGTTGGTCGTTTAGTGAATTGTTATTTATTGATATTTTAAAAATTAAACCTTAAAAAGTTTTTGATAGTTGATTTAATTAAATTTAATTGCACTGCCCCAAGAGGACCAGTTCACAATGGATAAGATATAGAAGATGTAGTTGCAGTATGATGAAGATGAGAATGATGTCATTGACGATGATGATGATGATTGCGATTATTATATCACTTTTATTTATTTATTTTATATTTATTTATTACTGATTTTTAAAAGTTATCATACAATGTTGATGTGATGTGATGTGATGTGATGGTTGGTATTGTATCTCTGTTAGAATTAGATGTAAAATAAAATAAATAATAAAGATAAACATAAATAAAGATAGGACAGTAAAAAAAATTTTTTTTCTTTTGTTAGGTTTTAAAAATTAAAAATAAAATGTTTTCAACAAGTTTCACTCATTAAAAAGTTATCACTTCAGCTTTTTTTTATATAAATCATTAAATAATTAAATTTATCCAAACTATATCATCGTAAGTAATTAATTAATTTCATTCATTCCACACCCAGCTTCTTCTTTTTGAAAAAAAAATCATTAATTAAATCCAATTCAAACTATTTTGTTGATATAATTGTAATAATCCATCCAAAACTAGCTTGTAGAGGGAAAAAACAATGGGTACGTCCCTATTTGCGCTCCATGTATAGGAGGAGACTCGACCAGGGCCCTGAGCCAGAAAGGCCTGCCTCTGCTTGGATTAACTGGTGCGTTACAAATTCACATCTCCACTATTTTTAATTGTTGTTTTTTATGAATTTGTATTTATAGTTTATATTTTTTGTAATTGTGTTGTGTTGTATCATTGTGCATTATGTTGTATTGTGCTATGTTGTATTATGTTGTTTTGTTGTGTTGAGTTGT